CCAGACGCCAGGGACGGAGGGCGAAAGCCGCTGGTGGGGATACTTTTTTTGGTTGGCGGCTCCCGGACAAAGGTCAAGAAACGGGATAAGCGACTGGGGCACACACCGTAGATAATTGGCCACAGCGGCGCGTAAGCCGCATAGGCGAGTGCACGTGCTAGGGACAAAATGACCCTCATTAGAAGTGATGCAAGGGACAAAATGACCCGAATTGAGCACCTTAGACCGACGCCGACATCCCGGCGGGCGGAGACGCCACGTCGCAACGTGCAGCGGCAGCAGCGGCCAGCGTGGAGAAGCCGCACCAGCGTGTGGGGACCACGTCGCAGCGAGCGGCAGCAACGGCTGTACGGCTAAGCCATGTGTACTGTAGCGGCGCGGGGAAGTCGCCCTGTCGGCGCCAAATTCCGGCCGAACGACACACGGAAGCGAGGCAGAGAGGGGGGCAAGAGAGCCGCGGCGGACGCCAGACGGGCACCCAGCGTCAGAAAGAGAAGGAGAAGCGGCACAGAGAGGGGCCTCACTCACCATGGCTCACTGTCGCCGAACTCGGGTATGCCCGCCCTTGCACAAGGGAGGGAGGGCGACCCAGTCAGCGAACACGAGGTAACGCCACTTCCAGCCTGTGGCCAGCGCGTACACAACGTATCCGACTCTCGCGGTTCGGGGGCACAACGCTGCAAGCGCTGACAGAGGCAGATGCGACACGGGTCTGCTGGGAAGACGGCCATGGCAGAAGGATGAACCACTCGTGCGAGACCGCTCCCTGGTGAGGCCCGCCGTCAGGTAACACCGGAAGTGAGGTTAGCGAGCACGCCTATCTCAACCTTACACGAAGCCAACGCAACGTCCTTGTGGTAGCGACATGACCAGGTCCACGTAGATCAAGGCGATACGCAGGTGGGGGTGGCACTGCCTGCCGCTGAGCGCGGTGTCCACGGGGGGCTGACCCACTCCACTGCAGCATCACGACAGCGTACGCAGGCTGGCAGCCAGCCGATAGCCAGTAACTTTTTTTTGCTGGTGGGGATTCGCGAAGCGTCACGAACTTACCCCAGAATTGCGCTCTCGCGTCGGAACTCCTAGCAACTTGCCAAGGCGGTGCGTTCCCGACGTCCAGACGTCGTGCTCTCGCACGAGGCATCCTCGCAATTTGCTCAGGACTCGTGCTCTCGCCTGAGGCCTTTCTGGCCACCTACCACACCAACCCAACCCGAAAACACGAATTTCGGGTGGGGGGGGTAGGGGTTTGGGGGGGGGGGACGGGTTCCCCGATCCCCCCCACCACACTGGAGCTGAAGGGAAGATTGAGGCCTTCGGGTTGGGTTGGGGTGGCTTGGTGGGTGTTGCCTCTCAACAAACAGCGGCGTTGGCTTCCGCGCCCCGCCCACCCGACCCGCCCGTTGAGGCCCGCCCGACCCGCCCGTCGGGGCCCGCCCGGCCGCCCAGACCATCAGGGTCTGCCCCTTCGCCTGCCTGGAAGCGCCCGCCCGCCCGCCGCACTGCCCCGCCCGGCAGCCCGCCCGTCGTGAGGGTCCGCCCGCACGACCCGCCCGTCGTAAGGGCCCGCCCGCCCGATCCGCCCAGCGGTGCGCGTCGGGGCCCGGCCTTCGCGGGCTCGACGCCCGACCGCCCGCCCGACCCGCCCTGTACTCAGGGCCCGCCCGCCCGACACGCCCGTGGGGCCAGGGCGCCCGGCGGGGTCCGCGCTCGCCAGAACATGGCTCCCATCTCCTCACCCTGCTGCTCGACCTCCTTCGCCCTCAGTCCTCGTCCCCTGCCCTTGCACCCCTCCGCTCTCGTTTCCTCCTCATGTCCTCGCTTTCTCCCTTATCCATTTCCCTCTGCCTCCTCCTCGGAGGCCGCGCCCAACTACAAGTGGCAGGCAAGGACGACGTATCCCAAAGTGGGGGGGGGTACGATCGAAGACAATGAGGGCGGGCATCGAGGTATAGGGTATACATGTTGAACAACACGCGAGCAACGACGAGCGAGCAACATTAAAAATATTGGTGTTGCTATTTTTATTATTCAATGGGATCGTCGGGTTCCCCCTCCCGTGGCCTCGGGAAGAAGGGCGACGCACGAGATTGATTCGAGCTGTCGCTCGTGCCCCCTGGCACGGCCGCGGATCGCGGGGCACAACCATCTTCGAAACCCACGGCAAGATCAGTCGGCATCGAATCGGGAAATCGGATCGAATCGGAGTGAGCATCGGGTCGGGTTACATCGGCGCGGAACCTCGAATCGGATCGGCCGCGCCAATATGCACAACAGCGCCATGCACAAACATTGGGCCGCATCGGATCGTCGGAATATCGAAATCGAGTCGACTCAGACTGACATGGGAGAAAGTGAGATCGATGGGATCGATCGGATTTGACTGGGCCCTACAGAGGGGGTAATCCAGACTTCGGATGCCTGTATGCGGGATGGGGAGTACAGTCGAGCGTGATTGGCGAGGACACGAAACCCTTCCGGGGGCCACACGGACCAAGGAATGCAGCAGATATGAGGCGCGCTGTGCGGACAGAAGGATGATCCCTCCATCTGGCAGGGCCGACCTCCTGATCAAACTCGACTGGAAGAAGGACGCGCGGGGGAAAAGATTCAAAACACAGATTCTAGCGCCGGGGTTAGGTCGGGCATGTCCTCCTACAGGCGGATCTTGGGAGAACAAGTAAAACTTGCCATGTACATATATATATATATACATATATACATGTACATATCTACCTATATTTATATATATATATATACACAAACCAAAAGATAGTCGAACATAGAAACAAACATCGTCCCCAGACAATGTTTTGACTATTCTCGAATCTTCCTCCTGCAGAGGGACACGCCCGACTTGACCCTCGGGCAGACCTTCGAGAGGACGACCTGCGAATATTACTTACACAACGGCGATGGCGCCCGCGAGCAGGCCAAGAACGCGCTCTGCGCACAGTCGCCCAGGACACTGCCGCGTGACGGCCCCCCCTGGACACCTCTCAATTGTCGGCCTTCCGTCCCCGAGATCCGACGTCGCGAACACGCTACGGCCAACGCGTGCAATAAGGACGCACGAGAAGGATGCAAGTTTGTTTGTTGCAGCAAAAATGCTTCGTAACAAGTGCCATATCGACACTCACCTTGGCACGCTTGCGGTCTGGGGGCGGACTCCAGAACGATGCTAAGACGAAGGAGTGTGAGAAATGTGGCCGAGTGCAAACCGGCGGAGCGGACCACAAGCCACGAGAGCAGGCTTCAAGACGCGAATGCCGCCAGGATGCAGGGGCCTGGGAAGGCCATGCCGACGCTCTGCGAGCGGGGCGCGGCCAACGAAAGCGTCCAGGGACGGGCCGAAGTGGAAGGATTGAAGGGGAACTGGGACACACAAATAAATGCACACAAATAAAAATATCCCATATTTTCCCATATTTTCGGGGTTTCTGTCTTCCCCCCCACTTCCTATATTTTCCCATATGTTCGGGGCATCGCCGATGAATCGTGTCTGTGTGCTTTCTCCCCTCCTGAAGGACGCAAGGGTCAATTTGGGAGAGTCGCTCCTCCTTGCTGTGCGGGCTGACCGCACGCCGTGGCGAAGCGTCGCGACCCGAGCCCCGGACCCTCGTCTGCACCGTGCCCCGCGCCGGCGGTCGACCTGCGAAGGCCGCCCCAGGGCAGGCATCTGGGCGAGAACGCCCGGCGTAGCAGAACACTGAGACGCCAGAGCATCAGGGCCTTCGTTGACTTCGAGGGGGCCCAGGGATATACAAATAGATAGACACAAATCCCATGATCCCAAGCATATGAATATATACATATATATATATATACACATAACGAATATAAGATACGTTCCAGGTTTCCTGGATGTGCGTCTTCCCCATCCACTTCCCAGGCATATTCTATATGTGTATATATATACATATATTGTCCAACGACTCGGCGATTAATTGTGTATGTGTATTTTCCTCCCGGGACTTCTACGACCAGCTCACCTCTGCGACTCGGGAGCTGCCGCGCCGCTCCTGGCGCGCGCGAGGCAGCGCCCGGGCAATGGCGTGCCACTGCGGCGAGGGCACCGGATAAGGAACCACTGGACTCGGGAACCTGCCGGGCCTGGAGGCTGGTGGAACTCCAATCGTGTGGATGGGCCATGGATGCAGCCGGGGCGTTGACCTAAGGAACCCTAAATAAGGAACGAGGCCCCTTTTTCCACAAGTTAAACTTCGATTTCCGATCGAAAACACAAGGACAACCCGAGGCAAGCTGTGAAACACTTCAAGGAACGCGGAGCCCCTCTCCAACAAAAAGGGTTCCTTCTTCAGGGCCCCGACGGTACCACCGCCGCCCCCCTCAGATGCGGAACCCTCGAGGGTCTGGAACCTCCTGGGCGCAGACTCCTCCACCGCTCGGCCACACGCAAGGAGCGACCCTGATCAGGCAAGGGCAGCTGACCTTTGGTGCGCGGCTTCCGGGGAGCCGCCAGGGGGCGAAACCCGGGCGCGCAAGACGCAGCCGTCGCATCGCACTCGGCGATCGGGGGATCCCAGGGGGCCCGCACCAAAGGTTGGGTCGGGCATGTCCTCCTACAGGCGGATTTGGGGCGAAAGTTCAAAACATACGCAACAGAATGCTCCAACAATGCTCAATCGTCACCTGACTTGTTTCTTGAAACCAAAAACGGTTTTTGAACATTCCTCCCGTAGACGGACACACCCGACTTACACCAAAAGTCACTCTGGCGAAAGCAACCTCTAGTGCGCGGCTTCCGGGGAGCCGCCAGGGGGCGAAACCCAATCGCGCAAGACGGAACTGTCGCCTCGCACTCGGCGATCGGTGGACAAAAAAACACATGGTGGAGAGAAACACACGCTGCGCTCTCTCCTCGCACTGTGCTTGTTCCGCAGGCTTCCCACAGATCCCAGTGGGCCCGCACCGAAGGTCCCTCCGGCAAAAGGCCCCTCTTATACGTGCGGTCGAACCGTCGCCCCCCCCCGCGCTGCGGGTCCTGCAGGAGAGCGGGCGCCACGACCGGCCCCGGCAGGGCCGCCCGCCAGCCCGCCTGGCGGCGCCGCGGCGGAGGCGCGCGCTCGCTCGGAGGCTCCGTCGCCGCGGCGGGGCGTGGCTTGCTCGCTGCCCTTGTGCCACGGCGGACGGCGACCACCCCAAATCTTGCCAGAGGAACTAACAACAACACCTGAGATTGCCACGAACCCCGACCTTGGAGGAGAGGTGGGCGTGATCTGCGAGAGTGAGAGTGGCAGAGAAGAGGATGCCTATAGGTCGCAAGTTGGTGCTTCCCGTAGTGCCCGTTTGACGTGAACAAAAAACATGAACATCAACTTTCGGAGGTCGGCGTGGCTTGCTCTCTGCCCGTTGGACACTGACGGGGCCCAGGGACACACAAATAGATAGACACAAATCCCAGATTCCGAATCTTTTCCAATATTTTCTAAGGTTTCGTCTTCTCCCCCACTTCTCATATGTTTCCACATTTGCCTTGGAACCGACGATTATGTCTGTGTGTGTCTTCCCCTCCTGAGACACGGCGTACGGCGACCACCCGCGACCCTGCCAAAGGAGCAAAACAACAGCGTAAACAGAAACTTCCGGAGGTCAGCGCGAATTTCTCGGGGATCGGCGCTGGACCCCCTTGACGGCGCCTCCGGCGCCGTCCCTGGCTTTGTCCGCGCACCAGGGAGGGCCCAGCAAAGGTCCAAGAGATCAGCGCTGACCTCGGAGAGTTTCAGCATGTTGATAATATTGCTGTTCCTCGATTTGCGGGAGGCCCAGCTAGACAAAGCGACGGGGTGTCGCTGTCGCCGTCACCGTTGCCGCCGTCGCCGCCTCCGTCGTCGCCGTCGGCGTCGCCGTCGCCGTCGGCGTCGCCGTCGCCGTCGCCGCCGCCGTCGCCGTCGCCGTCGCCGTCGCCGTTGCCGTCGCCGTCGCCGTCGTCGTCGTCGTCGTCGTCGCTGCCCGACGGCGGCAGCGCCAGCGTCGCCGTCGCCGTCGGCGTTGCCGTCGCCGTCGTCGTCGCTGTCCGACGGCGCCGCCGTCGCCGTCCTCGTCGTCGTCGTCGTCGTCATCGTCGCCGTCTTCGTCGCCGTCGTCGTCGTCGTCGTTGTCGTCGTCGTCGTCTCTGCCCGATGGCGCCGGCGCCTGCGCAGGCCGGGCACCCCCGGTTCGAACGCCCCCTCCTTGGACTGAGGGGGGCCGCCCCCCGCTTCGAACCCCTCCCCCCCTTGCATCCCAGGAAGGGGGGCCTCCCGGGTTCGAACCCCCCCCCGATTCCCAGCGTCCACAGAACGCGCTATTCCAAACTTATCAACAGACTGCAGGATTGCACAACTTGTCTTGGCGAAGGACTCAACCGTGCTCATGCGTGATTACCCAAAGGCAGATGGGACGCAGGAGGGGGGATTTCTTCATGGGGCCACGAAGCGTGAAAGAGGTGTGCCAAAATGGGCGGGCGGGGGGTGCATGTGGACGCACCCTGTGGGGCCTCAGGTGGAGCTCCCTTTGGGGTCACGAAGCGCGTGAGGGGTGTGCCAAAATGGGCGGGGGGCTGCATGTGGATATGACCACTCTGGCCTTAAGTGGAGCCCGCTATGGGGCCACGATGCGTGTGAGGAATGCGCCGAAACTGGGCCAGGGACTCCATGTGGACACACCCACTGGTGTCCCAGGTGGAGCTCCTCATGAGAAGCGTGTGAGAGGTAGGCCAGAAACAGTCCGGGGACCGCATGCGGGTGTGCCGAGGGGTGTGCCGAAATGGGCGGGGGGGCCGCAGGTGGACGCACCCCGTGGGGCATGACGTGGAGCTCCCTATTGGGCCACGAAGCGCGCGAGGGGTGCGCCAGAATGGGCTGGGGGACGCTATGTGCTCCCTGGTGGGGGCTTCCGCGGAGCTTCCCTTGGGGACACGATGTGCGTCACGGGTGTGCCCAAGTGGGCGGGGGACACTTTGCCCACCCCTTGTGGCTCCTTTTGAAACTCCCAAGTGGGCCACGAAGCATGCGGTGAGGGGTGTGCTGAAATGGGCGGGGGGACGCCATGCGGCACCACCCCCTGGAGCCTTCGGTGGAGCTCCCCAGGAGGCTACGACACGTGAGAAGGGTGTGCCGAAATGGGCGGGGGGACGCTATACAGCACCACCCCCTGGGGACCTCGGTGGAGCTCGTTATGAGGCCACGATGCGTGAGAGGAGTGCGCCGCAATGTGCTGGGGACGCTACGCGGCTATGCGCCACCACCCCGTGTGGGCTTCGGCAGAGCTCCCTTTGGGGCCACGCACTGTGTGAGGGGTGCGCTGGAATTTGCATGCGGAGTGCAGAAGCAAGGATATGAGAAGGAGGGATAAGGGAGGAGGAATGAAGGAGGACGCGGGCCGCCGACTCATCAAAACGAGGACCCAACACCACAGGATCGCTGGGAAGAGTAATCGTCGGAGATCTGGATCCTTCACGTCGAAAATCACGAGGTTGTTTCTCCTGGCTCCTTCTCCGTCATCCCTCCTCTGTTCAGGCGGTGAGAACGCACCTGCCTGACACGTGGGCGGCAAGGGCCTTCAACTCTAGATTGCCTTACCTCCACGGCCTTCCCACTGCCACACGTGGCGCTGACGAGGAGGGCCCGGACGTCCGGCGTCTCGACTTCTTCGAGACGCGGCCCCCCGACTTCTCGACCTCTTCCCTGCGACCGGCTCCTCATCACGAGCCGTTCTCTGACGGCCTCGAGGCCCAGCACAGAGGCCCCGAGAGGCCCCAGACGCCGCAAACCTCCGCCGCGACGTTCTCGAGACGCCCGATGCCTGGGCCAGGGGGAGGAGGCGAGGCAGGGGATGGGGAAGAGCATCGAGCGGGGAGGCGAGGCGCGGCGAGCCACGGCGGCCGCTTCTTGCTCCTCCCCCACGGGCCCCGCCAGCAGCGCGCCCCCGCGGCGAGCACGCACCGGGCCACTGGGACGCTCTCGGGCGCGGGCGTCAGTGAGGAGGCCACGTGCGAGCCCTGCCGGGCCCCCCCCCCCCCACGATTTCCACAGGGAGAGGCGGGCGGGACTCGCTTCGCTCGGGAGGTCCCGAACGAAGGGAGCCCCGCCCCTCCCCCTCAGAGAGCGCGGGGTGGCGGGGCAGGCTTCGCGCGCGGCCTCCCATCAGTGGAGGCGCGGCCCGGTGCTGAACTCCTTCAGGACCTCCGAGGGCTTCGGCTGGCCCGGGTGCGCCGGGGGCGTGTCCACGCACCCGCACAGCGTGGGGAGGCCGCCCGCCCTAGGCGCGGTGCCACGGGAGGCCGCGCGGCGGTCCGCGTGGAGCGCTCCCTCCACGTGGGGGTCGTGCGCCAGCATCCTCCGGAGCAGCGCGTCCAGGTCGCTCGAGCGGGGGCGCGGGGCCGCGAGCTCGTAGATGCCCGCGGCCACGTCGGCCGCGAACATGCACCGGACCGTCTGGGGTTAGGCCGGGCATGTCCTCCTACAGGCGGATTTTGGAAGAAGAGTAAAGACAAAGTCAACAAATACTCAAAACCAGTCCAAACATAATCCAACAATAGTCGAAACATCGTCCCCAGACTATGCTTGACCATTCTCGAATATTCCTCCTGTAGAGGGAAGGGACATGCCCGACTTAAGTCTGGGGCTTGATGTGGTGCACGACCCACGTCTCGCCCGAGAGAGGCAGCCAGCAGTCGTTCGGGTGGCTCTGCTCGGTGCAGCACTTCGGGTCCATGGCGAAGTGCTGCTCGTCGTTGTCCAGCAGCGTGACGGAGGTGAGGTTGCGCATGAAGACTAGCTGCCATAGGTCCGCTTCCAAGCTGTGCAACGACTGGTGCCGTGTGTGTCGGATTCGGCCACATCACCACGTCGAGACCGCCTTTCATCCACTTCTCGCTCAAAGTCCCCCCTGTCTTACCCACCGAATCAAAATCAGAATGCCCCAATTCATGTTTACGGTGGCATGGGCCGCGGATCCCCCCGCCCCCCCCCCGCCCCGAGCCAACTCCATACGACGCTACAGCGGATATGCGCGGCAGCGCAACCGGAAAGAATCCGTAAGATACGTCCTCCACCACAATCTTCGCGAGCTCTGCTCGCTGCTCCTCCGCGACTATCTGGCGAACAAGATCCATAGACATAGCCAAAAAAGCACCGCGAGCATACGCTGGGAACACATCGTCCGTCCACACGTCCCTGGGTGTATAATGAGGGTCGTTAACATCCCTCACAACAATGCCGCTGTAGTCAAACGCACCCCAGTACGCCTCAGCTCGCTGCATGCGCCCCAAGCGTTCCAAAACTGGATGCGGGCGCATGTAGATGTCGTCGTCCGATTTCAGCCAGAACTGCGCATTCGTGTGGTGAGCGACCCACTTGAGCGCAGCAAGCCCTTTCCGACCGATCGGGTACTCATCGGTGGTCCCTGCAAGGAAGACCATATCATCGAAGAGATCCCGCTCGTGGAGAAGCAACTGGTCAACTGAAGATCCTACGTCGAGGAACGTGTCCGCGAGAAGAAACTTGTACATGACACGGGGCTGTGCCTGCGCAAGCAGTGGAAGCCACGTATCGCGCAGAGCCATTCGTCGCCCGAAGTTCTTCCGAGCAGAGTAGATGGTAAGCATAGCCAGCGCGGGCTGCGGCTTCGCCAGAGCGTGGCAGGCTGCGGCTGCGTGCCTCTGCAGACGTAGGTGGAAGGGAGCGCGGTAGCGCATGTGAAAAAACTCCTGTACGATTTTGATGGAGTTCATGTAAACGTAGAAAGCGTCCTCCGGCGCGTTCATCATGAAATTAATCGCAAACTCGATTGAAAACTGCGCAAGCTTGACGACTCCGTACGGCAGGAAGTGCGTGTAATTGAACACTTGGTGTTTGCCCACCAGGATGGGAACAACTCCGTGCGCGATGCAATCCACCAAGCTCTGCGGCGGTGTCCCCGTGGTGTCACTTAACAACGCAGAGAAGACAAAATCGTGAAACGCGCGCTGCCGCGACTCGAACGATCCGTCATCGACAAACATGTTACCTGGCATCAATATACTCCCATCTTCGACGATGCCTGCCATCTCATCCCCCTGCAGACTGGGCGGCAACAACACGGACATGCCTTGCCGCCTCACGTCTATCGGCAACATCTCTTTCATCTGTGCCAGATGCCTCCCGTGCTCGCGCAGCGGGAACGCGCGGTCCTCCAGGAAGTAATACCTGCCGCTCGCCTCCAGCCACGGCACCTTGCTGCTGTCGTCCGTGAAGACCAGGTCGAACTGCTCGAGCTCGGCGCCGCTGAGAGCGTGCGCGCCGCTCCCTCGGGGGGCGTACAGGACGCGGCAGGAGCCCCCCCCCGCCCACTGGGCAGACGTGTAGTTGCCCGAATCGAAGATCTGCACCGCCCGTGCGGTCCCCGCGGCGCCGACCAGCAGCCAACGGCGCGCGAGGCCGCAGGACCTGCGCTCCGCGACCGGGACCATCCGCAGACCGCCAGCCAGCTCGGCGACCAGGCGCCCCTAGCTGCCAGCGCCGAAGACCTGCGCCGCCCGCGCGGCCCCCGCGGCGCCGACCAGTACCTGGCCGTGCGCCGCCATCGCGCGACGCGGCGGGGGCCAGGCCCGCCCCGAGTCGGGGAGCCTGGCTGAAGAAACCAGGACTGCGATCACTTCCCATGAGAGTACGAGGGGGAGGGCTCCCAGGAGGTCCCACACAAATCCAGCAAAAGGCCGCGAAGGGGCCCGGATGCACGGCCCGAGCACGGTGGCGTGGTGGGCCGTCGATACGTCAGGCCACGTGTGTATCCTGTATCCAACTCTCGCCCAGGCCGGCCGCGTCATGTGGACCCGACTCCCGGACATCTGGCGCCCCGATCTTTTCGAGACACGGGCCCCCGACCCCTCGACCACTTTCCTGGGACCGGCTTACCATCCCCCCGAGTCGTTTTGCGACGGTCCCGAGGCCCAGACAAGGCCCCGAGAGGCCGAAAACTATGAAAAACCTCTGTCGCGGGTTTGCGGATGCCATCACAATGGACACCCTAACAATCCGACCATTGAATTAAATAATGTGTTTAAAATGTTTGAGACACGTTCTAAACATGTTTTTTGTTTATATATATATACATACAAGACTGCAGTGGCGCTTCGCGCCATGCACCTTGGTCCTTGAAGTGTGGTATGCAGGCGGAATTGCAGGAAGGTCAAGTCGACAATTTAGCGATAACTCCTTGTTGCCTTTTTCTGGCATCGCCGCTATAACAATGTGATTCGTTATCCTTCCTCCATGCTTCTTTTTCCGCATGTTCGCCATACCCTGCGCATTCTCCCCATCCTCCTCAGCTCTTTATTGCGGAGGCTCCTCCTTGGAGAGCCTCTGGGGGCCTCACAAAAGTTGTTTCAGGCTTTCTTAATGCTTTCAGGAGGCCTCCTGGTTGTATTCTGGGGGCCTCTGGGGGCTTCCTCGGGCTACCCTGCCTCCAACCGCGGTCTCCCTGAACGACTGGGTCACGATTTGGAATGCTTCGGAGGGTGTCTTGGGGCCATCTTGGGCCGCCATGGGGCTCTCTGAGGGCCATCTTGGACCCGTGTTGTGCCGTTTTGGGGCTCCCTTGGACTGCCTGGAAGCCCTTTCGGATGTTTGTGGGGCGATTTTGGAGCCTCCCAGGCGGCTTCGGACACCCAGAAGACCGCTGTCTTGGAGCGTCGGGAAGCCGAAAAGAGGAGAACCCAACATTCACCAAAAACCCATACAAAATTAATGAGTTTTGCCTCTTGGGGCCTTCTTCGGAGTGCGCTTGGAGGCCTTTTTGGGGCCGTCCTGGAGGCCTCTTGGGCCATCTTGAGGTCACGTCGGTCACTCTTGGAGCGCTCTTGTGCTGTCTTGGGGGTCTCTGGGACGTCTCCGATGACCCCCCTGATCGCCCCAGGTGTGCTGCGAAGGCTTGTCAAAACGCCCTGCAAGGCCCGGGGGGCCGCTTCGAGGCCCGTCCGGAGGGTTCCAAAGCCCCAGATCCCGGGAGTCCGGTTTTGGGGGGGGGGGGGGGGACGGGTTTTCCCCCAGCTCGGGCTTATAAAAATATAGGAAGAGGAATATATATATAGATATATATATATATATATATATATATATATAAAAAAAACGACATGCTTAAAGACATGTTTTAGACATCTGGGAATTATTTGGCAACATGCTTCCTCTCCATTGATCGGCGTCCACAATCGTGGGTGGACAGAACCCCCGTGAGCAAAACGCTCTTTAGCGAAAGATGCCAGGGAGAGACTCCGTGTGCGCACGGCACCGCATTCCGAGTGCACCCCAACGGGGGTAGCTAACCGACGTCCAATAACAAACGAACTTATCCTGCGAAAGGGCGTCAATTCCAGTGGGGGCCCATGCCAAGAAACACTCTGCTTGCCTCCAGGGTGCCCCGGATTTCTTGGTTTCGATGATTTTGCTGTGGAAAGCGTGACGCTCCCACACCAAAAATCCATGGACGTCCTGGGGTCTCAGGGGTAGGCTTCTTGTGGAAGGTTTCCTGTGGACAGGCCTCCACTGCAGCGAAGCCGCGTGGGGACTGCACCGGCATACTCGAATGCCAATGCCGAGCGAGCTGGTGCAAATCTCCTCAACCGACTTGCCTGGGGAGGCGTTCTGCCAATGCCGGACTCCGCCTCGATCTCCTCGAGACGCTGGACGTCTGGGCTTGCTATATGTATGCCGCCAATAGGGAAACCAGAAGGTACCAATACCGCTACACCCCTGACCTCTCCAGGGCGCGTTCTGACCAGGACTTCGACTCGAACCCAGCGACGGCGACGAGGGCCTTCAGGAGGCCCAGAGAGGGGAACACGGGCGAAGGGTAGCCATATGGGAACACGTCGTTCATTTCTAATCGTGCTCATTTCTAATGGCGCTCGTTTCTAAGTGTTCCTGGCCCCCTAGTGGCCAGGAAGAGGCCCAGGACAGAAGCATCAGAAATGAAAGGGTCTTGGCCCCCCCAAAGAATCAAAGAACGTTCGAAGAGTTAGAAGTGAACCGTGTGTACCCTTCTCCTCCTCTGAGCCACCGGCCCTTCGCGCGCGTCGGCGGCGCGCCGCGGCGGCGGGCCTGCGGCGACGCCGCGCGTGCGTGCAGGAGGCCCCGCGGGTCCGGCGGCGCCGGGGTGCCGAGCGCCACGGGCGCGCACGCCTCGGGCGCTGGAGCCGCCGCCGCCCGGGTGCCCCCGGGCCGCCGCGGCCGGGCGTCGTGCCGTGGCCGCTGCTCAGCCAGTGGGGGGCGACAGGCGGGGGGGGTGAGGGGCCCAGACCTCCGGCCTCCCGGACAAACATCGAGCGGAGGCTCTTCACAGCTGTCGGCCTCTTGCCGGGCCTCGGGGCCGACAGGAAACGACTCGGAAGGAAAGCCTGGTCCTGGGGAAGCGGTCGAGAAGTCGGGGGCTTGTGCCTCGAAAAGTCCAGACGCCGGATGTCTGGGAAACGTGCACCTTGCGTGCCCCTGTTCGGCCCCACAGGGCCCCTTTGGGGCCCTCGAAAGTGCACGAGAGGCGCACCTCCCTTCGCCCCTCCCACGCACCGCTCCCCTCCCCCGTGACGCCTCGCCCGACAAAACTGGTCGTCGTCGTCATCGTTGCTGGCGCCGCCGCCGTGGCCGTCGGCGGCGGCGGTGGCGGCGGCGGCGGCGGCGTCGGCGGCGGCGCAGTCGTCGCCGCCGTCGGCGTGGTCGCCGTCGGCGTGGTCGCCGTCGCTGCCGCCGTCGGGGCCGAGGCGGCGCGCCGCGGCGCGCCGAGGCGGGCCCGGGCGAGGGGCGGAGCAGGCGCCTCGGGAGCAGGCCGCGGCTCCTCGGGCCTCCTCGCTCGGTGCCGAGGCGCGGGGCCAGCGCGGACCGAGTGGACCGTCGGGGGAGGGCCGGTCGAGACCACTGACGAGGGACCAAGACACACTTGTTTTTGATTCGCGGGTCGAGAGCGCACCTCTTCCGGTCGAAGCTAAGCGGGCCGCGCAGAGCTTGAATTACGCAGAGACGGGGGAGAAGAAGGGGGGCGCAGCCTCAGAGCGAGGCCGGGAGGAGGCAAAGCCTCGGGATCAGGTCGAGTGACCAAGACACACCCATGCCCATCGGTCGGAAGAAGTACAGGTAGAAGCACGATCGGGAAAGCGCTGGAAGCAGATGAGGCTTCCGCCCGCCTGGGGAGAAGGAAGGATAAGGTGAAGCCGCTCGATCCTTGAAGTAGGAAGGCGCCTAAAGTAGATTGGCATCTGGGACTCCAAAAACACCTACTTTGAACGACCGATGGATACCCATAGGGATGTCGGAGGGATAAGGACCGGCTATGGGTATGGGTGCAGGTTGTCGGTCGGACCCCTGGGAACGCTTCCTTTTCGCGCGGGGACCCCCATCCGACAACACGCGCCCATAGCCCCGCCTGCCCCCCCATGGGTATGGGTGTGTGCTGTTCGCTCGTCAACAACGGCGGCCCTATAAAACGACGCGAAGGTCGGGACAAAATCGGATCGGGATGAATCAGCGGGTTTGGAGGATGTATTGGGCGCCGCGGCCGCTCCAGAGCGTTCCGGAACGCTCTGAGAGCGCTCCGGAACGCTCTGGAGCGATTTATCCCGATCCTAGCCCTGTTTTGCCCTACCCTTCTTTTTTCCGTCGTTTCTGGGCCCTCTGGAGGCACCTCGCCTTACCGGCCGGGCCCGCCTCGAAACGCGGGGCCGTCTGGAGCTTGGAAAGGGGCCCAGGTGCAGAGCTCGAGCGGCTCTGGACTACCAGGCCGAGAGAGCCGCCGTGGTCTCGACGGGCCCCCTGTCCGAAAGCAGGCTCCGGTCGAAACGCATCCGAACTCGGCGGCGCGCAGACTGGGGGGCAGCGCGAGGGGGCCGGCTTCACAATAATGCGGGATGACGATTAATAAACATTATCCCGGCAAAGCAACCTAACAGCGATGTGTAGGAGCATATCTGGAAGCATTCCCCTTAAGATTCAGATGAGAATCCAGTTGTAGAATTCTGCTGTTCTCGCAGTCGTAGTCGCATTCGCGATGACAGTCGCAGTGGCAACGGCAGTCGCAGTCACAGCCTCAGCCTCAGCCTGCCTCAGCCTCAGCCTCAGCCTCAGCCTCAGCCTGCCTCAGCCTCAGCCTCAGCCTGCTTCAGCCTCAGCCTCAGTCTGCTTCAGCCTCGGCCTCAGCCTCAGCCCTCAGCCTCAGTCAGCCTCAGCCTCAGCCTCAGCCTCAGCCTCAGCCTCAGCCTCAGCCTGCCTCAGCCTCAGCCTCAGCCTGCCTCAGCCTCAGCCTCAGCCTGCTTCAGCCTCAGCCTCAGTCTGCCTTCAGCCTCGGCCTCAGCCTCAGCCTGCCTCAGCCTCAGCCTGCATCAGCCTCAGCCTCAGCCTCAGCCTCAGCCTCAGCCTCAGCCTCAGCCTCAGCCTCAGCCTGCCTCTGCCTCAGCCTCAGCCTGCTTCAGCCTCAGCCTCAGTCTGCCTTCAGCCTCAGGCCTCAGCCTCAGCCTGCCTCAGCCTCAGCCTGCTCAGCCTCAGCCTCAGCCTCAGCCTGCCTCAGCATCAGCCTGCCTCAGCCTCAGCCTCAGCCTGCCTCAGCCTCAGCCTCAGCCTGCTTCAGCCTCAGCCTCAGTCTGCCTTCAGCCTCGGCCTCAGCCTCAGCCTGCCTCAGCCTCAGCCTGCATCAGCCTCAGCCTCAGCCTCAGCCTGCCTCAGCATCAGCCTGCCTCAGCCTCAGCCTCAGCCTGCCTCAGCCTCAGCCTCAGCCTGCTTCAGCCTCAGCCTCAGTCTGCCTTCAGCCTCGGCCTCAGCCTCAGCCTGCCTCAGCCTCAGCCTGCATCAGCCTCAGCCTCAGCCTCAGCCTGCCTCAGCCTCAGCCTGCCTCAGCCTCCTCAGCCTGCCTCTGCCTCAGCCTCAGCCTGCTTCAGCCTCAGCCTCAGTCTGCCTTCAGCCTCGGCCTCAGCCTCAGCCTGCCTCAGCCTCAGCCTGCATCAGCCTCAGCCTCGGCCTCAGCCTGCCTCACTCAGCCTGCCTCAGCCTCCTCAGCCTCAGCCTCAGCCTCAGCCTGCCTCAGCCTCAGCCTGCATCAGCCTCAGCCTCAGCCTCAGCCTGCCTCAGCATCAGCCTGCCTCAGCCTCAGCCTCAGCCTGCCTCAGCCTCAGCCTCAGCCTGCTTCAGCCTCAGCCTCAGTCTGCCTTCAGCCTCGGCCTCAGCCTCAGCCTGCCTCAGCCTCAGCCTGCATCAGCCTCAGCCTCAGCCTCAGCCTGCCTCAGCATCAGCCTGCCTCAGCCTCAGCCTCAGCCTGCCTCAGCCTCAGCCTCAGCCTGCTTCAGCCTCAGCCTCAGTCTGCCTTCAGCCTCGGCCTCAGCCTCAGCCTGCCTCAGCCTCAGCCTGCCTCAGCCTCAGCATCAGCCTGCCTCAGCATTCAAAATGTGGCCCGGGAAGGAGTTCTGGGAACTCGAAGAACACGAAGTGGCGTACAGTTGGCTCCGGGCATTCAAAATCATGCCCAGGAATGGAGTTCTGGAAACTCGAAGACCACGAAGTGGCCTACAGTTGGCTCCGGGCATTCAAAATCATGCCCAGGAATGGAGTTCTGGGAACTCGAAGAACACGAAGTGGATTACAGTTGGCTCCGGGCATTCAAAATCATGCCCAGGAATGGAGTTCTGGGAACACGAAGAACACGAAGTGGCCTACAGTTGGCTCCGGGCATTCAAAATCATGCCCAGGAATGGAATTCTGGGAACTCGAAGACCACGAAGTGCGTTACGGTTGGCTAAAAAAGTCCCCGGCATCCTCCCCCGGATCGCGCCCAGACCCCCCTGGTGCGTCAAGATGCCTTGTTTTGACCCTACTAGAGAGCCTATCAGTCTTCGCTGTTAAGTAAAAGTGGGAGAGAACGATTCGAAAAATAGTTTTCTGCTATTTCTGCACAATTTTCTGACTGGAGGAGGGCGATTTAAAATTATCCCGGCAAAGCAACCTAACAGCGATGTGTAGAAGCATAGCTGGAAACATTGCCTGTGGCATTCATGTAAGAGTGCTGTTGTAGAATTCTGGTGTTCTCGCAGTCGCATTCGGATTCGCAGTGGCAGTCGCAGTGGCAACATCAGCGGCAGTCGCAGTGGCACTGCCAGTAGTTGCAGCAGCAATAGCTACACTAGCAGCAGCAACTATCAGCATGTCCTGGCATTAAGGTGCGCAGTAGGCGCTGCGCAGTTCCTTTGAAAGGAAATCTTCGAAAGCAGGGCTGTAGCCAAGAAGGCTACGGGGACGACGATGATGATGAAGATGATGAGTCTTGGAAGTCTGGGAAGTGGAAGAGCACGAAGTGGCGTACAGTTGGCTCCGGGCATTCAAAATGTGGCCCGAGAGTGGAGTTCTGGGAAGTGGAGGAGCACGAAGTGGCCTACAGTTGGCTCCGGGCATTCAAAATGTGGCCCGGGAATTGTGTTCTGGGATATCCAAGAGCACGAAGTGGCCTACAGTTGGCTCCGGAGAATGTGGCCCAGGAATGGAGTTCTGGGAAGTCGAAGAACACGAAGTGGCCTACAGGTGGCTCCGGGCATCCAAAATGTGGCCCGGGAATGGAGTTCTGGGAAGTCGAAGAGCACGAAGTGGCCTACAGTTGGCTCCGGGCATTTAGAATGTGGCCTGGGAATGGAGTTCTGGGAGGTCGAAAGAGCACGAAGTGTGTGACTGTTTGCTTAAAACGAACCTGGCCCTGAGCCCGGCCCTCGCTGTCCGGATGCCGCCCAGACCTCCCTTCTGAGTCATCAGATGCTTTCTTTTGACACCACTAGAAACCTATCAGTCTTCGCTGTTAGGTAAAAATAGTTGTCCAGCCCGCGGCCGGTTTTTTCTAATCGTCATCCCGGGCGCCGCCGCGTGAACACGACCCCCGGTCATTTATTAATCGTCATCCTCCATTAAGGGAGCCTATGCGAAGGCAGGGGGGCCTCTTACGAGCAAGGAAGCGGGGTGCTCCTTGGGAAGCAGGGGGCCTTCTCAGAAGGGCCTCCAGGCTTCTGAGACGGGCCCCGAATCGGGCACACGCCAACATGGATCGGGGAGGGTACCTTCGAAACATGGGGCAAGTGCCGCCTGATTTGGCTACGGAGCGGAACGATGATGCAGGGAAACGGGGGCCGTCGCCAACCCACTCGCCGTAATCCATGTCTGCGCTTCCTCGACCCAAGCGGCAAGGAGGGAAGGCCGCCCCGTTTCGCGCCGCGAGGCCAAGGGAATTGATGAATCCCTTGGCGTTCCAAGCAGCGGGTGCAATCCCGAGGCGTGCGCGCTGCATCACACCGCGCACGCAGGCATGGCGTGAGGGGCGCCCCCTTCTGCACAAGCTCGAGGAGTCGCCCCGTGGCTGGAGGAAGGGGAACACAGCGGGGGAGGGGCGTCTCACAAGAAAAAGAAGCGCGACCGGCACTCCACTCTTGCTTTCGGCGCTCTGGGCATCGCTTTCCGGGCCCCCGTGGAGTGTTCTAAGACGCGCGCCGCTGCGAAGACTGGTCCAGGGATGGGGCATGAGTTGGGACGATGACGGAGGTCTAGCTCTGAGCATCGCTTAACCGATCTCCATCCCCACCAGCGTGGGCTGGGCCCCACTGGCCGATTTACCCCCCCAATGGGGATATAGGCTGCTCTCTTCGGGGTTCGAGGAGCCTATCCCCAATTGCGGTGGTGAGACGGTGGGGCTCGAGATGTGGATGGGGATGGGTATCGGCATCGGTTAAACGATACTGATGCTCAGGGGGGGAACATCGACTTGGAATCGGCGATGCCTCGCATGCAGATCGGCCAGGTGGGCCCTCGACGGCGAAATGGGACGCTTCTGGGCGGAGTGGGGCACCCGGGCCCCGACGGGCGGTGAGCGGGTGCTCGGGGGTCGATGCAGCGTCCCCCTGGGCCAGGTCCACCCCTGTCGCGGGGCTCGACCCAAGCAGTGTTTGGCTCGTGCTCGTGTTGTTATCGGTTTCCCTCGTCTTGTCTTGGTTTCGCCTCTGCTGCAAAACAACATCAAAACGAGAACGGTTCACGAAATCGCCAAAACACCGTTTACGTCGAGCCCCGCCCCGTCGTTACCCCTGGCAGGAGGCCCCCGTCGTGCAGGGGGGGCACGGCGTCGGAGACAACGCGGGGCAACTGCTGCCCCCCGGGGACGAAGACCCGCCCCCGTGGGAGGCTGGCTCTGGCGGAAAAGGTGCGAGGCAAGAGCCGCTCGATCCCGCCAAGGACCCACCCTCGGCACCGCGGTCTCGGACGAGCTGCAGGTTGATCAGACCATCCTGCCTGGTGACGGATGGGCCACCACGTTCCTCAAGCTTGTCCTGCTCCAACCTCTCGATCGAGTATGGTCCTTAGGACGGTCGGTGGCTCCGTTTGTGGTGGTCGACGACATTATTCTGCACAGGATTAGATCGTGTAAGGTCGTCACGCGTGAGATAGTTCAGGCGTCCAAGGCTTTGCAACGTGAGCTTGATTTGTGCCAGCTACAGTTACACGGTGACAAGACGCGGGTGATGTCAAGTAGTAGTGAGGTGCGTTCTGATATTGCTCGGCAGCTTGGTCGTATCGGGGCCCTGGCGTCCCGACATGAAAGAAACCTCGGAGCCGATTTTACTTGTGGGCGTCGTGTGATTCGGCGGGTCCGACACGAGCGACTTCGTTCGGCGCGATCAAAAATACACCGACTTCGGAAGTTTTGTTGTGGTCCCCGAAAGAGAGTGGCGGCCCAGCTCGTGGCGCGTGCAGGTATGGAGGCTGGAGTAACCTATGGGGCTTCGGTGACTGGTACCTCAGCAACGGAGTTGGATTCCATTCGAAGTCTCATGTTCTCTGCGATCGAGAGGCACGGTGCAGGGAAGTCCAGGACGATGGCGCTCATGTTGGGCAAGGAGCTCGACCCGATTGTTCGTGCCACACTGCTTCCTGTCCTTGCGCTTGCGCGTGCGATGTGGGAATATTGGATCCCCGTGAAGGTCGTGTCGGACGGGCTCCTGGAGGCCAAGAAGGTTCAGATGTGGTCCCAGGTCCAGGGGCCCTTCGGGGCCGTAAAGTTGTCCCTCGATCGGATCTCCTGGAAGTTCTCAGGCCATGACGTGCTCACCTGGATCGCGCACGATGGCGCCTCGGTGAACATTCGGGACGTCTCGGCATGGTACCTCAGGAAACTCCTGGTCCGCGGTATTGAGGCCTGGCAGTGGGCCAAAGTTGCTGGTGCTGAAGGGTACGAGCATCTGGGCAAAGGTGCTGTGATGGCACCCCTTCTTCGGCTTCTGAAAGGTTCGCGGCCCCAGAGTCACCAGTGTAGAGACCTAGGCAGCTTGGCCTTGCAAGAGCGTGCTTACCTTAGGAGTGTTTTGATTAATGTGCAGTGGCCGATGGCGAGGAAGCGTGAAGCTGGTTTCGTGGCTTCGTCTGGGTGCCTTCTTTGTCCTGGGATCGGGTCCCTGGTCCACCGCCACTGCGAATGCCAGGGAGCTCGCGGAAGGCGAGCGCCCCCCCATGCCCGACAGGTTTCAGATGCTACTTGCGAGGCTGCCTTGCCCGCAGGTGCAGTGTTTGCTAGAGCGCGGGCTGTGGCCATCGCCCTCCGTGCCCGACTCATTTAAGAGTCCCCGACGATGATTGCGAGACGTGGCAGATGCATGCTGGAGGCGGCGTCTTGTGTGCCCGCGAAGCTTTCCTAGATGGCTCGCTTTTCGATGGTGGGTGGGACGGTGTGAGTTCGGCGGGGTGGGCGATCGTGGTGCTGCATGATGCCGATCCGCTGGGAATCAGCGACGTGGTACACGGCAGGCTGCCATTTGCCTATCGTGACATCGATGGCGCAGAGCTGTTCGCGCTTGTGAAGCTGCTGCGTATCTCGGTGCCGCCCATATGCGCGGTCACTGATTCGAAGTTTGTAACTGACGGCATAGAGCGCGGTCCTCAAGGGACTACGACCTATGCTGCGGCCTGGGCCGAACTCTGGCGCGTTTTCTGGGCCGCCCTGGACGACTTTGGTGGGGTTGGGCCCCAAAGGCTCCAGGTTCGGAGGGTTCGCGCCCATCTCTCCGAAGCTGATGTGGTGCGCGGACGGATTTCGCGCCGCGATCGGTTCGGAAATTTGTCGGCTGATATTTGGGCGAAGTTTGCGGCCAGCCAACGTAGGCTGGCGGCCTCTGATCGTGAGAGGTTCCAGCTCGCGCAGGTTCTTGTCGAGGACGTTGCTCATTTCATCGCGCGAGCTGGGGCTTCTGTGGACTCACGAGATACGGTTTTAATGAGGCCTGGCGCCAGGCCAAACAAGGCGCCTGTGCTGCAGCTGGTCTTTCCCAAGCTTGGGCACGAGCTGGTCGGCCCAGAAGGGGCCAGGTGGTGCGTGCGGTGCCGTGTTCCGTCGCCCTCGAAGGCGGAGTGCCCTGGTGCCGTTGTGTCGCGGGCCGTCGAGGCCAATCGTCGGATCATCGCCGACGGACTTAACGGCCACAAGCTTGTGTGTTTTGTCACAGATCGGGCGCTTGACCGCCACCACTTTGCGGTGGTTGGGTGCCAGGTCTGTGGTGCTGCCACTTCGGTGCAGCTCAAATCGTTGGCCCGACCCTGCACTAAGCCAGGGGTCCACGGGGCTCGGGCCATAAGGGCCACGGAGGGGGGATATGTCCCTCATGTGAAGGGGGCTAAGGTGCGCACCTCAGTGGTGGCCCTGGGCCCCTAGTTCAGCGGTGCGTGCACGGACGTGCGCGCGCTACCCTCGGGGAAGAAGGGGGAGGATGAGGAGGAGGAGGAGGAGGAGGAGAAGGAGGAGGAGGAGAAGGAGGAGGCGGAGGAGGAACCTCCCAAAAAGGCGGGGGAGTTTCCGAGAAAGCATGGGGCATGGGGGCCTTGAGCGCCCCCCCCCCCGTCTGCGCCCTCCCACTGACCCAGGTCCCCCCCCGCCCGCCGTCTTGGAGGCCATCCCACAGGCCCCCCGGGGCCCTTCCAAGGCCCCCACACCTGCTGACAAGCCCCCTCGCCTTCTCGGGGAGGCCAGCTCCCTCGCGCCATCCCCTGCGGCGCCGCCACGCCCTGTCGAAGGGCCATCCTCGGGGTCCGCTGGCAGCACGTCGGAGAGGCGCCCACTGGAGAACCCTCGACGGTGAGCGGCTACTAGACGAGAAATGCCCGATGCCCTCCAGAACTTCGACCATCAACCTGGCGCGACCCTCATTATGGCTGTCCTGTTTGCTGAAGACATGCGTGCGCAATGCTCGCAATGAGGTCACACGGTCTGGTCACACGGCGCACGGAACTGGCCTGCAGGAGAACAGACCGCGCTCCTCTTCACGAGCCAAGGAGGAACCCTTGCGGCACGCCTCATCGAAGCCCCAAATCCGAAACCCTCCGAGCCAAGACCCCAGACGCCACGACCTTTTCAGCACGTCGGCCCCAGGATCCCTCGACCGCAGGAGCCAGGGACCGGCTTTCCGTCGCAGCTCGCCCCAGGACCCGAGAACTGCCCCATGGGAACCGGATGTGCCCGCGCTCGCTCCACCTGCTTGGCGCCACAGGGGGGGTAGGGGGCCGGGCGAAGGATTCTCAGAGGGAGGCTACTTCTCAGGAGGCGCAGGCCCTACAACTACAGACAGGGCCCGCGCCTTCTAAGGAGCAGGGGTGCTCCTCAGAAGCACTCCCCCCTCCCCATCCTCCTCCTCCTCCTCCTCCTCCTCCTCCTCCTCCTCGTCCTCGTCCTCCTCCTCCTCCTCCTCCTCGTCCTCCTCCTCCTCCTCCTCCTCCTCCTCCTCCTCCTCCTCCTCCTCCTCCCCCGCCGCCTCCCTCCTCCTCCTCCTCCTCCTCCTCCTTCTCCTCCTCCTCCTCCTCCTCCTTCCTCCTCCTCCTCCTCCTCCTCCTCCTACCCCTCCTGATGCTGCTGCTCCTCCTCCGCCTCCTCCTCCTCCTCCTCCTCCTCCTCCTCCTCCTCCTCCTCCTACCCCTCCTGATGCTGCTGCTGCTCTCCTCCTCTCCTCCTCCTCCTCCTCCTCCTCCTCCTCCTCCCCTCCTCTCCTCCTCCTCTTCCCCATCCTCCTCCTCCTCCTCCTCCTCCTCCTCCTCCTCCTCCTCCTCCTCCTCCTCCTCCTCCTCCTCCTCCTCCTCCTCCTCTCTCTCCTCCTCCTCCTCCTCCCCCTCCTCCTCCCTCTGCGAAGGGCCAGTCCACCCTCCTGGCGACGCGGCGAGGGCAAGCAGAGCCTCGCCCTCGCGTCGCACTTGCGAAGCGCCAACGGCTCTCCGTCGACGCCCAGGAATTAGGTCGGGCATGTCCTCCTACAGGCGGATCTTTCAAGACAAATAATAAAGAGTCAAAACGAATTCAAAACTATTCAAAAACAGTTCGAAAATCGTCCCCAGACTATGTCTGGACAATCTTTGAACACTCCTACTGTAGAGGGACATGTCCGACTTCACCAACGAAGGATGGCGCCCGTCCCGCCCTCCGCGCTCTTCACCCCGGATCTCTCCCAGTGCGCGGCCCAGCAGGGCGAACGCACCAGGAGCCCCCCCGCCTCGAGGCTCCAACGGCCAGTGGCATCTGAGGGGGCCCAGAGGGTCACACAAATGAGTATACCCGAATCCCAACATTCACTATACCCTCGATATTTTCTGGATGATCGCCTTCCCCTCCACTTCACATCTGTCCCATATTTCCTGGGGAATCGACGGCTACTTCTGTCTGCGTGATGTTTCACCCTCCTGACTATCTGAGGGAGAACGATCTGGGGGGGCGGCTCCGGGGAGGCAGACGTCAACTGGAATCTGCGATCCAGGCCGCCGATAGACGATAAAAGCCCTCGATAGCGAAACCGCAGGTTCCTGGGAGGGGTGGGCTTTCAGGTCCATATCGGGGGTGAATGGGCGAATGGGGGTCGATGCATCCCCCCCTTAACCTGTCCCCCCGAAACCCCTGAATATTGCTGCTAGTGAAATGTGAAGGCGTCTTCGTCGTCGCCACTGTCGTCGCCGCCGCCGCCGTCGCCGTGGTCTTGCCATAAAGTCTCGCTTGCGAAGATTTCAACTGATCCCAGACCTCCGACGTCGTAAGTATTTCACACCGTGAAACCCCAGAGTTGTGGATGTCATGACAATGGACACCCTAACAATCCTATCATTGAATGAAACATGTGTTGGAACTGTAAGAAAACAATTCAACAAATGTCTGAAACATGGTTTGTTTTCATATTTTGGACGTGTTGAACACGCTTTTAGACACCTGGAAATTATTCGGCAACATGTTTCCTCTCCGTTGATCGTCGCCCACAATCCCAGGAGGTGTCGACCCCTTCACGGGGACCGGCTCTCTATCCCGAGCAGTGCTTCGGTAGAGGGAAACAATTGGTGAACACCCCCCCTGCCCCCCAAACTCAAAGTTGGCGCGCGCGGGGGAGACTGCGGCCGAGGTGCAACCCATCAGACCCACCGCCAACTTTGAACCTGCGGCTCCGGGGCACGGCGGAGGCCCCCGCGGGCCGAAGAGAAGCCGAACACACCTCCCACCCTGCTGTGTCCGCACGACGCGCCAGAGGCCCGGGACTGCGGGCCCCCCGGCTCCGCAGGCCCGCGCCGTGCGAGGCGCGACGAGCGGCCGCCTCCGCGCCCTCCTCGCCACCGGGGGCAGCTCCAGGTGAGGTCCGAGAGCAGACGGGGGCAGAGGGCCGCGCCACAACGCCGATGCCTCGCCGCCGCGTCGGCGCCGTCGGGCTCTCTCCGCGCGCCCACCCTCGAGGCCCCGCACCGGACCCGACACACATGATGGGCCGATGTTCCACCACCACTACCATATGTGGGAGAGGGAGGAGGGGGAGAACGAGGAGGAGGAGGAGGAGGAGGAGGAGGAGGAGGAGGAGGAGGAGGAGGAGGAGGAGGAGGAGGCAGGAGGAGGAGGAGGAGGAGGAGGAGGAGGAGGAGGAGGAGGAGGAGGAGGAGGAGGAGGAGGAGGGAGGAGGAGGAGGAGGGAGGAGGAGGAGGAGGAGGGAGTGGAGTGGAGTGGAGTGGACTCCGCTGCGCAGCAGGTTTGGAGGAGGAGGAGGAGGAGGAGGAGGAGGAGAGGGAGGAGGAGGAGGAGGAGGAGGAGGAGGAGGAGGAGGAGGAGGAGGGATCCCGTCGCCGTGGTCTTGCCATAAAGTCTCGCTTGCGAAGATTTCAACTGATCCCAGACCTCCGACGTCGTAAGTATTTCACACCGTGAAACCCCAGAGTTGTGGATGTCATGTCAATGGACACCCTAACAATCCTATCATTGAATGAAACATGTGTTGGAACTGTAAGAAAACAATGCAACAAATGTCTGAAGCATGGTTTGTTTTCATATTTTGGACGTGTTGAACACGCTTTTAGACACCTGGAAATTATTCGGCAACATGTTTCCTCTCCGTTGATCGTCGCCCACAATCCCAGGAGGTGTCGACCCCTTCACGGGGACCGGCTCTCTATCCCGAGCAGTGCTTCGGTAGAGGGAAACAATTGGTGAACACCCCCCCTGCCCCCCAAACTCAAAGTTGGCGCGCGCGGGGGAGACTGCGGCCGAGGTGCAACCCATCAGACCCACCGCCAACTTTGAACCTGCGGCTCCGGGGCACGGCGGAGGCCCCCGCGGGCCGAAGAGAAGCCGAACACACCTCCCACCCTGCTGTGTCCGCACGACGCGCCAGAGGCCCGGGACTGCGGGCCCCCCGGCTCCGCAGGCCCGCGCCGTGCGAGGCGCGACGAGCGGCCGCCTCCGCGCCCTCCTCGCCACCGGGGGCAGCTCCAGGTGAGGTCCGAGAGCAGACGGGGGCAGAGGGCCGCGCCACAACGCCGATGCCTCGCCGCCGCGTCGGCGCCGTCGGGCTCTCTCCGCGCGCCCACCCTCGAGGCCCCGCACCGGACCCGACACACATGATGGGCCGATGTTCCACCACCACTACCATATGTGGGAGAGGGAGGAGGGGGAGAACGAGGAGGAGGAGGAGGAGGAGGAGGAGGAGGAGGAGGAGGAGACGGAGGAGGAGAGAGGAGGAGGAGGAGGAGGAGGCAGGAGGAGGAGGAGGAGGAGGAGGAGGAGGAGGAGGAGGAGGAGGAGGAGGAGGAGGAGGAGGTAGGAGGAGGAGGAGGAGGAGGAGGAGGAGGAGGAGGAGGAGGAGGAGGAGGAGGAGGAGGAGGAGGAGGAGGAGGAGGGAGGAGGAGGAGGAGGAGAGAGAAGGGGAGAGGCAGGAGGAGGAGGAG